AGATGTGTATAAACACGCGCGTGTATACATACATGTGCGTGTGTATACGTATATATGCGTGTATATGTATATATATATATGTGTATATATATATATATATATATATATGTGTATATATATATATACATGTGTATATATATACATACATATGTATATATACTTTTCAAGTTATGTATCATGCATAGGAATGTTGATGCCTGCAAGGCTTTGGTCTGTCATTGTAGTGGCATCAACCTTGGTAATTCCCAATGCATGAAGGCAGAGCTGGAAAAAGTGCGCGACTGGCAATCGGAGGCATTGACCCTTAACTTTTTTAATTTAAAAATCACAATTTAATGCATAAATATATAATATATTTTTGCTTGCTCCAAACCACAAAATGTACTATTGTTTCGCTATAATAGTGTAAAGCTAACATTTGTTCCTGGAGGCATTTGATCAAGATAATTTTCATGGTTGGAGGCACAAAAAATTTTTTCCACGCCTGCATTAAGGTACCAAAAGTATTGAAATCATGTCTACAAATATATCATGAGTTTTCTTAGTATATTTTTTCTTTGTATATTTTGAATCCAGGTAGGCATTAAATTTGTGGATTATGGAAACACAGAAATCGTGTCCATGACATCAATACGTGAACCAATGATTAACAATACAACTTTGATCACATTACCATATCAAGCTGTGCCGTGTGTCCTAGAGGGCGTCCCACCTGCTGACCATCGCTACAAATGGGGTTCTTATGCTTCTTCATGGCTCTTTGACCTGTTAGACAATAGACCTGTTAGTATTGAGGTATGTATAGCATGTAGTGTGTGTGTTCACAATGTGAAAAGTACCTGTGATTTGTCTACTGAATTTAAACTTTCCCATAGGCGAACTACAAACATTGGTCACAGAAAATGCACTTCTGTTGTGATTGCATTTTTCAAACCATCAGCACCGTCTGTATTAACAATTCAGGGAAGACATTTTATTACATGCAATTGTGTAAAATAAAATTGGTTTCAGCAATTGGTCAATTATCAATTACATTACAACTCGTACTTAAAGGAGCCGCTACAAATTTTCCAAGTATAAATTCATAAAATATAGTTTGAATACATGAATAGTAAATTACTATAGTACATTATGTTAGTACTGGCTAACAAGATAATTTTCATCATAATACAAATGCAATTAAAATTTTAATGAAACCTTTTTAACCTGCAGCCTACCGTAGATGCAAAGTGCCATGGGCATTTTGGCAGATACAAACACTATACAAATCCCCAAATAATTATTTTCTTTCCCTCCTTGTTTGTAGGTAGTGCGTGGTCAAACCAAAGACAAAGCAGCCAGTGTGATAATTACCACAGTTGAGAATCCGATTGTAGTAAACGATAGCATGATTGAGCTAGCTGATGAGCTGTTTCTGTAAGTATTTTGAATTTTTGTAGGAGCTACTATAGTGAAGAGGCATTGTTGTTACAACTGTTAAGATAATAGGTGTTGGAGCTTTTTTTTTTTTTAAACCAGCACAAATTCATTTGGATTTATAGTAAATTTTTATAATATATTTTGGAGAAAAACTTTTTTTTGTCCATTGGAATTTGAACCCAAGCCCTTCCGATTACCGTTTGGATACTCTACTAACTGCGTAATGAGGCCAAGGCCTAGTTCAGACTAGGTGGATAAACCCGGCTCAACTCACCGGGTTTATCCACCTGCCAGTCTGAACTAGGTGGCTGTATTCCTATAGTAACAAGGCCTAGCGCACCACCATGTTTAACTTTTCTAAGCCGCTTTAATCGTTGCAGAGGGTCTTGCATTGACTTTGTATGACGAAATGACCAATCAGCATTCAATTACGTACGCTGTAAGCGAGCGTACGTTTCGCAAGCAATGTTTTGAAACACGTTTCCTGGTTACGGTTCATTATTATGCAAATTCTCGTCAGGCTTAACCCGCTATTCTGAACGCCCGGCAAAGTTAAGCCGGGCTTAACTCAAGCCTGGCTTATCTCCAAGTTTGAACGTAGCCCAAGTGTGTATAAGACGCCCTTAGGTTTCTTCCATTAGGTGACGTTTTTTTTCATGATATTGCATAGTACGCAATGAGTATCATAAAAGCACATGCCAAATTTTAGCAAATAAATAAAAATATCTGGATTTACATCATACATTATAATCTCAGGATCACTTTCTATTTTATTTGTTTTGTTCTCAATTTGCTTTATCAATAAAGGGAGGAAAAATATACAGTTGATATTAAAGACATTTCACAAGCAAAAGACAATGCAATAGAGAGTGCAGACAGCAATGCCAACATAAGCAAGTTGACAGACGATGAAGCTGTGGATATTGTAAAAATTATAGCCCAAGTGAACATCAACCCTGAAAAACAGCTGAGACGACCATCATTAGACTTGCAGACTTCTCCAACATCAAGTTTGTTGAAGAGGTTGCCGATGCCGCCGTCACTCGAGATCCCAGGAGTGGGAGAATACTGGGATGTAGTCATCAGCAATGCTAAAGATCCATCTCATTTTGTGGTACATTGTTTATA